AGGGAGAAGCAGGCTCCCCGCAGAGCAGGGAGCCCGATGTGGGACTTGATCCCAGGACCCTGGGATCATGACCTGAGCCGAAGGCAGTCGCTCAACCGACTGAGCCACCCAGGTGCCCGTGAAATATAGTGTTTTTTAAAAGGTCAGTTTCTTCTCTGGATTGGTGTCCTTAGGATGAAGATTGTGTGATTTCCAGGATAAAATAAGAATATGTATCGGATCTATGTAACAGAAATTAGATCTGTGTAACAGAAATTAGGCAAATGTGTATCTATCTTGGAGAAAATGTTTGATTCCCCGACAGAGAATTAAAAAATTTTTTTTTTCTCTTATGATTCTAGGGCTATGCACCACCACCTAAAAATGGGATTGAACAGAAGCGCCCTGGACGCCCTTTGAATATTACATCTTTAGTTAGGTTATCTTCAGCTGTGCCAAACCAGATTTCCATTTCTTGGGCATCAGAAATCGGAAAGGTAAAGACTTTCTCGGTAGCATGAAAGTGATCTCACTAGGAGTTGATTTGTCTTTTCTTAGGTCAAGCTACTAGCTCTAACTTGTTAGTCTTCTGATTGTCATTTCTGAAAAGCAGTAATTTTCAATTCAGGGGTGGAAATGTAGAGATTCTTAGGGTTAAAAAGTTTAAGATTTCCTGAATGTTGTGTCTTTATTTTCTTGGAAAAGAAGTGAGTGTAATTACAGTATTTCTTAAGGAAATTCTTAAGCACAATCGTGTTTATGTGTTTAAGTAGTGTTTTAAGAAACTGGAAACTTTAGGTAATGTTATGTATTTATGAAGAGGGACAAAGCTTTATAGGCTTTGAGGAAAATGGTTAAATGTGGTTGGAAATAATCTGTTCCAGCTTTTACATGAACAGCTGTTACTTCAGATAATGTGGGAATCTCATACGAAAATATTTATTTAGAATTACATTATTTTTCCAGTACCTTTAGGTTGATGAACTTGGCTTTCTACGGATTCTTAGTCTTAAATGTGTTCTGTCAGTTACGGGATACTGACTAATACAACACAGGATTTCTGTTTTAGAACTATTTGTTTATATATAGAAATAATAGAATGTCAGAAGAGATTTCAGTTAATCTGAACATCAACTTTTAATCTTGCTATTTCATTGAGATAAAGGGTAATATTCCTATTTTATGGACAGAGAAATTGAGTCATATGTTTGTAGCAGGAATTTTTTGGTTGTAATACCAAGGCAGTTGCAGAACTGGACATAAAGATCTTTGTATTAATATTTGGACTATAAAAATATTACTAGCTCTCTAATTGTTTTCTTGAGCTCTCCGTTTTGAATTTTTACTGTAACTTGTCTGTATTATCATAGGGCACTGATTCCTAATATTTTTCATTTGCACAAACGGAAGGATTTAGAAAATCTTGACTTAGTCCCAAGTTAGACACTGTTTGATTTTAGCAAAGTTGCTTAATTTCCTGAGGCCTACTTAAAGATAAGTAAGAGAATGGGTATTACCTGCAAATGCAAGGACATTGTTAAATGAGCAGGTATTAATGCTTTAAAGCTTATGGGAGGAATTTGAATAGAAGAATCTTTTTGAAGTAATTATTAACTTACAGATTTTTGAGTAAATGATTGTAGACATTGAAGACCTGGCAGGGTTTTTTGCCCTGTAATGGGAATAATATTCTTTCCTTGTAATTAAAATGATTGACTTTAAATTTGCATACTATATTGAGTATTCAGATACTTAAAAAGACTGTTGCAGGACATTAAAAATGACATTTACAATATTTGGCTTGGTAACTATTAAAAGTATTTTGTTTATTGTAGGGTCAATTGAATGAATATATGTAGTAAAATAGTAAGATAGATTTTTAGCATGTAGGTAAAATTCTATTTCATCTTTTCATAGCTCTATAAATAGCTAACGAAGGTTCCTTTGTGCCAGATCTAAGAGGTATGGGATTGGATGCTATTATTTTCTGGCCTTGTCTTTATTTTATCATTTCTTCGTGTGTCTTAAATACTACAGTAGCTGTCCCTTCCCTAATGAAATGTGCATTTGGAAACAGGAGTTAATTTGTCAAAGTTTTTCTCAGAAGAAAGCCGAGGGTTCATTTGAGGATTAGCTCAAGGCCATGTATGAGGTGGTCTCTTCTGCCAGAATTAGAACTTTGGAACTCTGGATTTGAAATGTTAATTCAGACAACTGGTGTTTGAACTTTCTGTAATGGAACCCGTTCTTCAGTGAAAATATTATTGACAGTTCCATTACATGAAAACAGAACAATTTTAGTTAGAAGTGGGCATGGGAGGGTACATTCTCATTCATACCATGGTGACCCTAGGACAATTAGTTTTGCTAAATTAGAAACACAGTTTGAAAACTACTGATCTAAGATATGTTATCTTTCACATGGATGTTTTAAAGTGATAAGTGATTGAGAAATACCTTTAATATGATTTTTATCTTCCCTGAAATAGCTGAGTTGATTTTGTTCCCTTCCCAGTCCTTGACCTTCCTGTGAAAGTTATTTTGAATGTTATTTTTAGAAACCGGAGTTTCTTAGACAAGTATTTTATGTAAATAGACTATTATCTCTCATCTTTAATACAGATTATCTTTCTTTGTAGAATTACTCCATGTCTGTATATCTTGTACGACAGCTCACATCAGCCATGTTATTACAGAGATTAAAAATGAAAGGTATTAGAAACCCTGATCATTCCAGAGCACTAAGTAAGTAATGTTTGTAAGACTGAGCATATGAGATGCTTTAATGGAAAATAAAAAGCCTCAAATATACATCAATACAGGAATAATTTGGGAAGAATTATTAAAAAACCTAAAATGAATTTTGAGTTAAAAATACTCTAAGAACAGATCCCTATAAATTGAAAAACCCTTCTTAGAAATCACTCCCAAGGATCAGTTTTAAATCCCAACTAGTCTGATTTTTGGCTTCTTCATGAAAACTTACTTAGGTAAATGTCAGGTTGATGGTAATTTTGATGCATATGTTGATTTGCAAATAGGAAATACAAGTCTTCAGAACCTCCAGTGTATAATAGAATGTACATTTTAAAAAATTCTAAATGAAGAAGCTCATTTTGCAGAAGAAGTGTTGATATCTATCAACAATATTTGCCCTCTCAGAAGTTTTATTTTGAACTTTGCTTTCATAATGTATAATAATAGAGAAAAAAGTCTAACCTAAACTGTAAATAATTCAGTAACTTAATTTAATTGAACAAGACATTTTTCCGGGAAGGAGAATATTTTTCCCCCAATTACCTTCCATACCACTGAATGAACCAGAAGGGAGAAGAGGATCTACAGTACGAAAAGGGAGCCAAGCAGGGCTGTTGAAATGGTGTTGCGTTTCTTGTATTTAAACCATTCTCATCTCCTTAAACAGCAGAGTAGCGATGTTCCTGCCTAGAGCTGGAAGCCAAGGAAGCGCTTCCTTCCGTTTTCTAGCCCTGCTGCAGTTCCAGTTTCCCATTTCCTTGCCTTTTTTCTATAATGGTGTTGAATTGAGTATTAGGCACCTAGAGGCCGTGCATATATTTATGAACTTGTAGAGACCGTAACTTGTATACATTATCTGGTAAATCACATTGCAGAGACATTAGCACATCTATTGTAGTTTTCAGTTGTCAAAGGAAGTATAAGAATATTTGGCCTTTTCGGTTTACAAATTTAATAGTTGTTGGAAACAACCAGTACCCCCTAATAAAAAGTCCTGAGTGTATGTGAGGAAAGCATTGAAGCTTCCAGTACAGCTCCTTTCCAAGTTCCTTTCCCAATTGTTGTATTGTTCTTCAGTCTTACACAGCTTTCTGTTCTGAAATTCTTCCTTACCTGCAATTTTACTTTTAAAAAGAAATTTTAAAAATTCAATTAAACATGTGATCTAGAGTTTGCAAGTTTATAATTCTTTAACCTAATACTGGAAGTATGATTGTGTTTTCACATTAATACTCAACATTTGGGGGTTTTTTTGTTTTCTTTTTACAGTTTCTTGACCTACTCAAAGTGTTCGGGAAACTTTAAATAAGATGATATATATTTCTATAATTCTTTTCAGAATATCACAGTTCATTAAAAATTTTTTTAAATTCCTTTTCTTTCTTTCTTAAAGTTAAAGAAAAACTTACTGCAGATCCTGATAGTGAAATTGCTACAACTAGCCTTCGGGTATCCTTGATGTGCCCTGTAAGTAAAGCAACAAAACATTCTGGGGTATTTCACTTTTTGTACATGACTAATTTTCCTATATAAGTAAGTGTGGGAATGAATGATACATTATGATAGAATTCTGAACTTTTGTCATTTTCCCATTCAGGAATTTTAATGATTAAATATAATTCTAAAGAATGCAAATGTTCTTCAAAAAATGACTAAGCAAGGAGAGACCTAAAAGGACATTGTCGAAGGGGGAAGAGAGCTTTGTGTTCAGAATAATCTGTCACAGTTTTTTGCTGTAGATAATCCACAGCTAATAGTAAACATACAGAGAGAATAGAGAGTTGGTTCCTTTTACTGGAATATAAACTGTATTGAAAAATAGCAGTAAAATTACTATCACCTAATAAATGCTAATTGATGGGTCTGATTTAATGAATTAGAATGTTTGAGATGTCTTAATCTCTTTGTAATATACTTCTAAATTGCATAATAATTTATGTCTCTTTACATAGAGACTGTGGGGTGGAAATCAGTCAGCAACTCTCAGATCCTCCTGTGTGCTTGTTACTGAGCTAATTTTGGGAGAAAATACTGAGGACTTGATAAGTTGTCAGAAAGTTAATAGTCTACTTTGAGAGAGAAAACTAACTCACATGAGAAAGGGAAGACATACGTACCACATGTAACCTTGCTAAGAGTACCAGAGAGATGGGAGAGGTCAGGAATAGTGGATGAAGGCTTCTTTAAAATCAGTACTGGTGGAGGGGTCCCTTTCCAGATGTGAGGAACTTTATGAGAAAAGTCACGGAATCAGGAATGTAGTTTTGGGGGCACCTCATGACCAGACCATTGTGAGAAATGTACAGTATTTAAATGGAGAGAGAATTATGTCAGAGAGAGGGAGAGAGAAAGGAATCATTTGTTGAGTTCCTGTGATGTGCTTCTTAATTTAACTGTCTTAGCAAACCTATGTGGAAGAATTGTTCCCATTTTGTAGATGAGGAAACTGAGATTAAAAGTGGTTGGATAGCTCACATCACACAGTTAGTAGTAGAACAAGGATAAAAATTTTGGTCTTCTGACATTATTCCAGTTACCTTAACAATATACCATAATACCAAATTGGGCTAAAATATGTTATCCTAGTTAGAAGTCCACCTCTCTGTCACCCTGGAAAGTGATGTTTGCAGATCTTTCTTTCTGAATTTATTTTTTTATTATCATTAACTTGAACTAACTTAGATTTATTGAAAAGGAATAGAAATGCATGAAATTGGGATTGCTTAGAAATGGGGAACCTGTAAAAAAAAAAAAAAAAAGAAATGGGGAACCTGTGGTTATCAGATGCAGAGAGAAGGTCTGCAGTCCCAGCAGGGAATGCCCTGAAGTGATGGCAGAGGCCCTAGAGGACTTGTGTTTGGACCCAGGACCTCCTCTTCTACCCCCATGCTGTGTGCAAACCTTGAGGCGTGAGTTCTTTTGAGTGTCTTCACATTACCCTTTTCCTCCCTCTCGTGTTAAAATGGATGTTAAATTGAAACACAGGAAATCGCCATTTTGTTGGTTAAAAACAGTTGAATATTGACAGTTTTCTTAACAGTTTAACCCTAGTATGTTAAGCAAATGTTAATTGCTGGCTATATTCTAGGCACAGTCACTACATGGGAAGGGAACTCGTGTTACCTTTATGTTTTAGTAGCAGATTATTCTGTCAGGAAGAAAGTGCTCCTGTATAGCTTACCTAAGGAGTTCTAACGGTTGCATGATTCCATTTTCTGCCTTGTTTTCTTGGCACTTGTTTTTTTCCTTTTTTTCTTCAAACACTACTATTCTGTATGAGAACAACCCAAACAAAACACAATGGACTAACATACTAATGGATTCTCAGATTTTCAAAATAGTGAAAGTGGCCTATCAGAGTGGTTAGGATTCCTTCTATATAAAAATAGGGAACAGTTCCTTTTCACTAAGTCTCTTTTGCAGACTGTCTTTTGAACTTTTTGAAAAAATCATCCTACCTGATTTTTTCAGCACTTTCTAAGAAAAGAGTAAGTGGTACTTTTCAGGCTGTAGTAGTGTTAACACGAAGTTGAAGCTAACTATAGTATATGATACATGTTAATTAGAACACCAGATGTTTTGATCAAATTTAACAGACGGATGACAGAAGTTAGATGATGAGAGGAGTTTCTGAGGAGGAGATAATACAGTATGGGTTGAAGAGAGCAGAAAGGAGTGCAGCCTCCTGGCTGTGGAAGTAACACTAGATCTGATGTGGTGCTAGGAAATAAGAGGAGCACAGAGTGGATCGGAAGCATTTGGAAGGATAAGAGGTGAACCCTGGGATCAGGAGGCAGAAATGAGAGAAATGATAGCTTTAAGGTAGTGGAAGAAGTGTTCGTTCTATTTCACAGTATGTAAAATGATTTAGAGTAGACATGAGTCTGGGTAGTGGGGAGCACAGTCCAAAGCCTCTATCCTTGGGACCTATGGAAGGCAATTTTACAGTCGTTCTTGAGGGAGGGATCTAATAATTATATTTCTGAACACAGTGTCTGAATTTTACACAGGGGTTCTATCTTAGTGATATCAGCTAGTGATTTTCTGCCTGTCCTGCAGAGATGGGCTGGGTGGTTGGGGGATAGAAAAGGGAGCTAGGTTTGATTTTATCTTTTAAGATTCTGACTCATATGTAGTTTGGAACCACTGATTTGGGCCATTTTTACTATATACATTCTTTCTTAATTTACATAGATACTAATTAGGCTACAGCAAAGTGAAAATCAGTTTAGGAACTCTATGCATAACATTTCACTCTGATGTTTATAGCAACATTATCTACAATAGCCAAATTATGGAAGCAACCCAAGTGTCCACTGACTGATGAATGGATAAAGAAGATGTGGTATATATATGTGTGTGTGTACGTACATACACACACACACACACACACAGGAATATTAGCCATAAAAAAAGATGAAATCTTTCCATTTGTAATGAGATGGATAGAGCATGAATATTATGCTAAGCAAAATCAGAGAAAGACAAATACCATATGATTTCATTCATATATGGAATTTAAGAAACAAAACAAATGAGCAAAAGGACAAAAAGAGAGGCAAACCAAGAAACAGACTCTTAACTATAGAGAATAAACTGATGGTCACCAGAGGGGATGGGTGATGAGGATTAAGGGGGACACTTGTGATGCGTACCAAGTAATGTATGGAAGTGTTGAATCACTATATTGTACACCTGAAATTAATATTACACTGTATGTTAACTGGAATTTAAGTAAAAACTTAAAAAACAAAATCAAAAAAGGTGTTGCATTGGTTAGGTGTGATTTCTTTTATCCATCCATCCATCCATCCATTATCTGACTAAATAGAATTTAACACATACAAAGCCTCTCTTATTGACACACCATAATCAGTATTAGGAAGGTGATCAGATTTGGCCAGTTGGTAATAAACGCTTTTTTTAACTTGGGAAATGTTCATTAACTCTTGTAAGACACTAGGATTAAATTTAGGATCAGCAACTTCCATAGTTGTGAATGTTTTCACTTCTGTATATTGTGGAAATTCTAAGGCAGTGACAGGAGAGATGAAGGTGGCACTGAAGAAGAAGAAGAAAAAAAGCAAGTTCTCAAAGCGTGGCTCAGAGATACTTGGGGGCCCCTGAGACTCTTGGATGAGGTTCACAAAGTCAAAGCTATTTTTTTTTTTTAAGATTTTATTTATTTATTTGAGAGGGAATGAAGGAGAGACAGAAAGCGCAAGCAGGGAGGAGAGGGAGAAGCAGGCTCCCCGCAGAGCAAGGAGCCTGATGTGGGGCTCGATCCCAGGACCCTGGGATCATGACCTGAGCCGAAGGCAGATGCCTAACCTACTGAGCCACCCAGGCGCCCCAGTCAAAGCTATTCATAAAATAATACTAGGATGCAGTTTGTCCCTTTTTTGCTCTCATTCTCTCATGAGTAGGTAGTGGTGTTTAATAGGGATTACCTGAATGTTCGTGATGTCAGTGCTCCGAGGGTTGATGTAGTGTGTTTTTGTGTATTCTTGTGTTTTAAAAATGTCTGCCTTAATTTCTACTACAATAAATATTGGCAAATATAACCTATATACATAAAAACTCCTTGAGATTCTCAATTTTTAAGAGTGTGAAGGAATTCTGAAGTCAAAAGTATGAGAACTTGTAGCCCCGCCCCCAAAAAAGCCATAGTAGGCCGAGTTAGAGCATTATTTAAAAGAAACAAATTATGGAAATTGACAAATATTACCTACCTTATTATAAAATTATTCAAATAGAACAAACATTAAAACTTTAAATTGATGAGGTCTATTACTCAGAAGTAATATTACTAATAGTATGAAATATATCTTTCTAGATTGAACTTTATGTTCATAATCGTGTGTTTATTGGAAAAAATTGTATGGTGCTATACATATACTATTCTGTGGTTTACTGTTTTTAAATTAACAGTATATCTTAACTATTAATATCTGTAGATATGTCTTATTTTAATCACTATAGGTATTTTGCTGATTGGGTATGGTGTAAATTAACTTTTTCTCTTTTTTTTTTTTTTTTTTAAGATTTTATTTATTTATTTGACAGAGAGAGACACAGCGAGAGAGGGAACACAAGCAGGGGGAGTGGGAGAGGGAGAAGCAGGCTCCCCGCAGAGCAGGGAGCCCGATGCGGGACTCGATCCCAGGACCCTGGGATCATGACCTGAGCTGAAGGCAGTCGCTTAACCAACTGAGCCACCCAGGCGCCCCTTGTTCTACCTTTTTTAGTGATGATTTAGGTTGTTTCCAAATAAAAAGCAATGAAGAAAAATTCCTAAGTAAAACACTAGCCAGTAGAATCCAGTACTTTAAAAAGAATCCAGTATTTTAAAAGAATAATACATGATAACAAAAGGATACCTCTTAAGAATGCAAGTATGGCTTGATTTTAGAAAACCTATGAAAATTATTTATATTAATAGTTGAAAGGGGGGGGAAACCCCTGTAGTCATCTCATTAGGGTGCTAAATAGGTGTTTAGTCAGCATCGATTCCTAATAGAACTCTTAGCAAAATAGGAAAAGGTAGATAATTGAAACCAAGAACCAGCACCATGTGTTGTTGTAAAACTAGAAGGATCCTCATGGAAGCAAAAAACATTTGCGTTTGTTTTAGAGCTCCACCAGCTGGGTCTCAGTGAGCGTGTTTGTAGCCTCACGTCATCTCAGCATCTTATTTCAAAAGCAGAAATACAGATACTAGTCTTTCTGCAGTCATAGGGCTGTTAGGAGAATTCTGTGAAATGTAGGTAAAAATCCTTAGCGCCCAGTAAAATTCCACATGACTTAGGAGATAATTTGTTATTAAAGGAAGGGAAAATATAGAAACAAATATCGTAAGAAGAGAAATTGCCTCAGGTTCTCTTCTTTTTTTCTGTCTCAAATAATGAGTTCTGTTGTGCTATGTACTTGCATGAATCACTGTAACTTCTAAGATCCCTTTTAGAATTTTAGTTAAACACTCAGTATAGCACAGTGATAAGAGTGTGGACTCTGGAGTCAGAGCTGCTAGGTTCAGATATTGGCTCTGCCACTTTCTAACTTTGTAATGATAGTCATTGTGCCTCAGTGTTCTTGGGTTGGGGGGGGATGATAATCTAGATCAATCATACAGCGCAGTTGTTAGGTTTAAATATAAAGTGTCACTTTATAATATAAAGTCATCAACATTGTGCCTTCCATGTAAGTAGAACTATACAAACGATAGTTATTGCTGTGGTGACGACTTGGCTAAATTAATTTTTTTAATTATGAAATAACCAAATGTTCATTTTAGAAGAAAGAAATTATAGATAAACCAAAAGGGGGGGGAAACAAATCCTACCCATCAAGCAAAGTTAACAGTATAATTTTGCTGTGGATTTTTCTAGACTTTATAGTGCTTGTAAAGGAGCCCTTCCTTCTTCCCTTTCTTTCCCTTTGCCATTTTTCTCGTCTTTATTTGTTCTGTCATCTGGTCAACAAATACTGAGCACATGCTGCATTCTACGTATTATGCTGTGACACTTGGACTACCGTGGTGAACAGCGACATGGACCTTGTCCTCATGGAGCTTAGAGTCTAGTGGGAGAAACAGATTTTCTATCAGAATTACACAGAGCTGGTTATAAACAGATATTCTCTGTAAGGAAGTATATAGGGAGGGCTGTTGAAAGGCTATACAGAAAGACTCAATCTAGTCTGGTGTGTCCTGATGTTGGTATGCCTCTACCAATTGGAATAAGAATTGAACAAAGCACTATAGTTACATAAAAGTATATTGGAATATCGGCACATGTGATTATACACACAAAGTTTTCATAAGTGAAAAATATATTTGCAGTTCATATCATTTATAAGAGGCTGACTTTATGTAGAGCTTCTGTAGATAGATAACCAAAGACTAACAACCAAATGGAAAATGAGAAAAGGTTTTGAATAGATGGTTCTTAGAAACACAAATTGCTCTTAAAAGTAAAAAAAGAAGCTCAACTTAAAATTTTAAGACAAATATAGTTCACGGCTATAATGGTATTTTTTTTTACCTGTTAGGTTGGCAGAGATCAGAGTGAATTATAGCACTATGCTGACAAGGTTGAGGGGAACCAAGCACATTGATACTTCTGTGGAAGATACTTTGTCAGTGTGACAGAAATCACAAATGCACTTTCCCTTTGATCCAAAAATGTCACTTATAGGAGTTTATCCTGTAGATATTTATTGCAGCATGATTTGTAGTCATAAAAGATTGGAAATAATTTAAACGTCCATCACTAGGGCAGGATACTAGTTAAATAATGATCCTTCATATCATGTACTTCATATCAGTTATGATACCTTCATATCATGGTATGTGTACTGATATATATGAATTTTGTGTACTGATATATATGAGACAGTCACCAAGTATTATGTGACAGTTGGTACAGAATTGTGTGTATTGCATGCTACCATTTCTGGGAAAATTTTTAAAATACATACTTGGTTATGCGTAGAGTATCAGTGAAAGTACATGTAAGAGATGGGTAACAGTGGTTCCCTCTACAGAGGGGAACAGGTAAGAAAGAGACATTTTTTCCTACCTGTGAATTTACATGTTAATTATTTTTAAAAAGTGAAATGGGCTTTTAAAAGTCATAGGGCAGTCAGTGAATACAAATAAAATAGGTAGCAGTCTTGACGGAGATAAATTCTGGTTTGAATTTTTTTTCATTTTCATCTTCTGTAGGATCTTTTCAGACTCTAATGAATGACTCTTGCCTTTGTGGCTTTATTCTCCTTTCTGAAAGGTTTCCCCCTGTTGTCTTTCCTGTCCTGTAGTTAGGGAAAATGAGGTTGACAATCCCATGCCGTGCAGTGACTTGTACACATCTACAGTGTTTTGATGCTGCCCTTTATCTGCAAATGAATGAGAAGAAGCCCACCTGGATCTGCCCTGTGTGTGACAAAAAAGCAGCCTATGAAAGTCTAATTTTAGATGGGTAAGTATATCCCAATATAAGTGTTAACTTATGTAAACATTCAATACAGCCTCATACAAATTTTAGTCTAGCATCGTGTTACCCTTTTTATTTATTGTTGGGTTTGTGTACTGTTGGGTTTGTTAAACTCACGAGGGATATTGGTCTGTTGTTTTCTTTTAATGTCTTTTTTTTTTTTTTTGAAGATTTTATTTACTTATTTTAGAGAGCATGAGCGTGGGTTGGGGTGGGGAGAGAGGCAGAGGGAGAGGGAGAGAGAGAATCTCTCAAGCAGACTCTGTGCTGAGCACGGAGCCCTACGTGGGGCTTAATCCCACGACCCATGAGATCATGACCTGAGCGGAAACCAAGAGTCAGACGCTCAACCCACTGAGCCACCCAGGTGCCCCTTTTGTCTGCTTTTAATGCCAGAGTAATGCTGGCCTCGTACAAATGAGTTGGGAAGTGGTGGTATCCTGTCTCCTCAAATATTTGGTAGAATTCCCTAGTGAAGATGTTTGGGACTGGGGCTTTCTTTGTGGTAAAGTTTTTAACTACAAATTCATTTTCTTTAATATACGTGGATTTCCTCAGGTCATCTATTTCTTTTTGAGCCTTAGTGTGACTAGAAGTTTGTCGATTTTATTGATCTTAAAGTCCCAGCTTTTTGTTTTCATTGATTTTTCTCTTTTTTCTGTTTCTTCTCTTTATTTCCCTTTTCATGTTTACTTTCATTTTAATTTGCTCTTCTTTTTCTGGTTTCATTTAGGTAGAAGCTGAGGTTATTGATTTGAGTCCTTTTCTAATATAGGAAGATTAGTGCTTTAAATTTTCTTCCAAGTACTGCTTTAGCTATATTCCACAAATTTTTTCGTTTTCATTGAGTTCAAAATACTTTCTAATTTGTGTTTTTATGTTTTTTGTTGGGTTTTTTTTTTTTGTCTCATTCATTTTTAGTTTCCAAATATTTGGGCATTTTCCACATATTTTTCTAAAGATGATTTCAAATTTCATTATGGGCATAGAACATAGTTGTATGCAGAGTTATTTTAAGTTTATTGAGACTTTTCATGTCCCTAATCCTCCTTTTCCCTACCCCATGATCCTTTTTTCTTGATAATAAGCTTATAAATTATTTTTTATATAACAACCTTTATTATATTTGCTTTTTTTTTTTTTTTAAAGATTTTATTTATTTGACAGAGAGAGAGACAGTGAGAGAGGGAACACAAGCAGTGGGAGTGGGAGAGGGAGAAGCAGGCTTCCCGCGGAGCAGGGAGCCCGATGCGGGGCTCGATCCCAGGACCCTGGGATCACATGCTTAACGACTGAGCCACCCAGGCGCCCCTGCTTATGTTTGTTTTATATGTTATGTTGGAGGTTGTTCTTTACTGCCAATCCCAGTTACGAGGCTCCAGGTGTCTTTCTGTTTAGTCACTGATTTCTTAGATGATACTCAGTAAGTCACTTACGTTGCTCATTAAAGATCTAAAACCTAGGAGGAAGGGGATGTAATAGTGTAAACAAATGTGAAGTATTGAAACACCAAAACAAAATGTCAGATAGCATTACTTTTGTCTCCAAGGCAGTATATGTATTACTTTGTTAGTTCACCTTTGAACAAAGCCGTTGATTACATTTATGTACTTCTTAATTGGTTTATAGGCTTTTTATGGAAATTCTCAATGACTGTTCTGATGTGGATGAGATCAAATTCCAAGAGGATGGCACTTGGTGTCCAATGAGACCGAAGAAAGAAGCTATGAAATTGTCCAGCCAGCCGTGTACAAAAATAGAAAGTATGTGCAGAATGGCCACAGAGAGCAAAGCAATGAGACAACGTTGTCTTTATCGTTAACTTTGGCCACTAGAACTACATTTGGAACTCAGTTTGCGAACTTTATCTTTTGATCATCTGTTACATATGTAATTTCCCCCAAATGATTTTTACTCTTTCCTTAAGAAATGTGCTAAAGTTTATACCATCTTATAATTAGCTTTTTCATAGTATATTGTAAATCTGTAAAGTAAAGGAAGCAATCATTTAAAATTATTTTAATATATGGTGTTTGTTACAAAATGAAAAGTTATAAATGACATTTTTATGGATGGTTTTTCAGGATCGTTTTTAGGGTACCTTTTGGGGGAACTGCAAGTGGAGGTGTGCTTAGAGGCCACAGAATCCATCATTGGAGGGTGGGGGCAGGTCCTCACAGATTAGTTGCTAAAAAAGTGAACAGATTGTTTCCATTTCTTTGTGGCAAGGAATTTGACCATTGTCTTGGTTACCTAGGATGTATACTCAGCCTTCAACTCCCTATACCCATACACACTGAGTGGGGAAACTAGGGGCAATTATAGTAATTGAAACCTGTAGGTGAACCTAAAGTTTTCTTTTTATCTGACACAGTCCACTCACTGCATTTAAGTTTTGTGCTGATTATATTTGACGTTCTGACAATGTAATGAATAATGGGTACTCAGAGTGAAAAGTAAAAGTTTCATGTTAATATTAATCATTCTCCTGGGGCACTTGGCTGGCTCATTTGGTAGAGCAAGCAGCTCTTGATCTGAAGGTCTTAAGTTCAAGCCCCACATTGGGTGTGGAACCTACTTAAAAAATTTCATTCTCCTGTGATTGTTACTGAACCTATAGGTAGAATGATCAAGGTTTCCCTCATCTTTGAGAAGAATAGTGATTTAGTTGATTAGCTGCTGCTTTTCCGTTATCAGCCAGGATTAGTTTTCTGTTAAACAGATCACAGCGCATAATATAATTTCTATGGTGAGTTAACATATGGTATATGTGGGCAGAAAGGAGGACCTAAGTGATTAATAGATAGTTGCTAAGAAAAGCTTTAAATGTCTGAATAACTTAAATGAGAAGTTTGGAGTTTTTTCAGCTCATCATCAAGGTTTAAATTTTTATCAAGTTCTGGCTTATGGTGAGGGGCCTAAACAGTCTCTGACATGAGTACCATTGCTTTGCTAGAATGGAAGTATTCGATTCTGACTTAACAGTGCCACACATCTTGAGAATACACAGCTTGTGAAGCCACATACTCTTGCCTGTGGCTGCAGATTGGACCCCTAACCCTATGCTGTCCATAAAATGACTGCTAACCTGGGGGGACAAGTGTGAACACCAGGATCTGAGCAAATCCTCTGGCAGTACTGGGGACATAAGAGCGTGCTTTCCGAAGGAGGCTTTGACCCTGTGGCAAGGCATAGAGCTTACTCTTTCTTCCCAGGTAAGCAGTCACTTTACAGACAAATGTGTGGAGTTAAGGAGTTAGTCTCTATCAAATGGGCAGAGTATGTGGCTTTCCTGGCTGTATATTCTCCTGGGCTTGCTGCACAGTTAAGACTTATGGTTAGAGTTTATTTGTGTCCCATCTTTTTTTTTTTTTTTTCTTTTACTTCTCTTCCTTACATCAGGTTCAAGTGTCCTCAGTAAGCCTTGTTCAGTGACTGTAGCCAATGAGACAAGCAAGAAGAAAGTGGATGTTATTGACCTAACAATAGAAAGCTCTTCTGATGAAGAGGAAGACCCTCCTGCCAAAAGGAAATGCATCTTTATGTCAGAAACACAAAGCAGCCCAACCAAAGGGTTTGTTAATTTATAGTTCACTATTGTTTATTACACTTGGAACTGTTCTTGGTACAGGTTTGTAAATGTCTCTTTGAAAGTTGCATAACCATAGAAGGCTATTTTCATTTGCCTTTGTTCAGTTGAAATATTTTCAAGAGAGCACCTTGTTTAAAGGAGAAACTTTTGATGAAGAAATTATTAACATCTTTGGGAAGTGAGAGTTGAACTCTTCTCATGTCTAAGTATTTCATTATTTGATCCTTTTTTGTCATTTTCTGGAACCTAAATTTGGCATCACAGACCAACATGAGTAAGCCTGGCATAAAAATGGAATGTGGCATTGGGAATCTGACAAGTGTGGATTCCAGTTTTGATACCATTGCTTACTTGTTCTGGATCTTGACTGAAATACTTGTGTGAGCCTCCTTTTTCTGCTCTGTAAAATGGGGTTAAATAATACCTACCTTATGCATAAGATGATTGTCCGATTTCAATAAGCTAGTGAGAAAGCTTAGGCTCAGTGTCAGGCATGTGATAGTCTCTCAGTAAAAATTGGTTGCCTTCCTATTTCATCCTCTCCAGGGCAAACTGTGGTCAAGTAAATGCGTTCTAGCATGTAGGTTTTATGACTCATGTGGCAGAAGCTATTGCTATCTTATGTAGTAAGTGTGATAGCTTTAAGTATCTAAAAACAGGTGCTTCTTAGAAATTTTGGAACCTGCAAGATAGTAGCGGAGGATTTTCCTGACATCCCATGAACATACTATTAGACTTGGGTGTGCCAGTCTTGTCCTTTGGGCCTCTCAGTGTACTTATTTTTTATAATGGCTTTATTGGGGTATAATTTATATGCCATAAAATTTTCCCATCTCAGCTATTAAGTTGCCCAGTTCATTGATTTTAGTAAATTCAGGGAGTTGCCCATTCATCATCAATTCAGTTGTAGAGTATTTCTAACACATAGTAAACTTCTCTCATGTTCACTTGCAGTTAATCTGCATTCACACCCCAGATCTAGGCAACTGTTCGTCTTCTTACCATCTCTATGAATTTGCCTGTTCTAGACATTTTATGTAAATGGAATTATACTCTCAGTGTATTTTGGTTTAAAAAGTCTAGAAGTTATAGCTACCCAGCTCATTCCATGCAGTCAACTTAATTCCTAATACCCAAATGAGATTTACACATTAACAACCATGCAGAATGAAGCTGGCTCACATTAGAAAGACCAATGAAAATTCTAAATTCAATCTTAGGAAATCATTTAATTATATATTAAAATGGTATCCATTACCACAAAGTAGGGTTCATCCAGGAATGCTTTGTTAGGAAATACATTGATAAAATGGATTGTATCATAAGGATGACTATATAGTCATCTTAATGGATTCTGGAAAGGTATTTAGTTCATTAATAGCCATTTCTGATAGAAACTCTTTGAAATATCAGAATTCACTTAGTGGTTTGAAGGGTTTACTGAAGCTGATTTATTCTTAGGCTGCATTAATGAAAGAAGCATAGTGTCCAGGATATATATCCACACTAGTTTTATTCTGTTCAAGGCTAGATGATTTTTACTTAATATCATTTTAGTCAGTGTTGATCATGAGAAGATGGCAACAGGGTGGTAAATAGTGCATACTGTAGCATGATGGGTGGATGGGTCTAAGGACTGAAGCTGTTAAGCCAGGGCAAGAGAATATGTGAATATCTTGTAGTTCTTAAAATGCAGAGGGAAGATACATGGAAAGACTTTCAGTTGGAGCTGAACACTAGGAAAGTTGATGTTTTGTGCTAAAATCACATTTTCTGTATTGAGGTAGATTGGATGCCACCTGTTTCGTGGATGTCACGGAGACTCATGCTATGGTTATATCCTCTCTGTAATCCCTTCCAATTCTTAATGCTTTTCTGGTTTTGTTCTTGGTCATCCTTTTCATATTGTCTTGTGGCTCAGCATCTAGAATTTTCATGGTTTTTCTCTGCTCTGTAAGTTTATCGTAGGACTTCTTGGTCAATGATAGTAAGCAAATGAGAAAGAATAGAGAATGAGAAACCAGGAAAACTTTCTTTCAGTTACATTCCAGAGAGCAGTTATTTTTAAAGAGATATTTGTTTTAGTAAAAATTGTTCTTTTTTTTTTTAAATGGGGAGAGAGTGCACGTGAGCAGGGGAAGAGGGAGAGGGAGAGAGAATCCCAAGCAGACTCTTTGCTGAGTACAGAGCCTGACTCGGGGCTTGATCCCACAACCCTGAGATCATGACATGAGCCGAAATCAAGAGTCAGACGCTCAACTGACTGAGCCACCCAGGCACCCTTAGAAATTGTTCTTAAAAACAATTTTACAGTTGTTTTACAATCAAGAGGTAGAATGCATTCCACCTAGACATAACTTCTGTTAACATTTTGATGATAATCCTTCTAGTCTCTCGAGTACCTACTCTAGTCCTTAAATGCGGTCATATAGTACCTATCAGAAGAGACTGGCACCTTAATCTAAGACTTTTAGAAAAACCTCTGATATTTTTCGACATTATAAGATAATTCTAAATACTATGTCCCAACCCCATTCCCTGAATCATTGAATGATTACTTTGTCACTAATAAGGTATTCTAAAGACAGACATAGGCAAATATAGAGATACTTACTTCTGTGGATTAAGACTCATTAGGAATTGGTAACAAAATTGAATCTTTTTTATGTTTGTATGATAAAGTGGGAGCACACAGGGGATTTCAGGTTTATGGATAAAAATTCAAGTTACTGAACTGTTAACTCATTTTCAGACATCTAAGTCTGGGCCAAGTATGATGAATTCAGTGATCCAGTACATGGTCTAGAGTACTAATGTTTGCTCTCTAGCAGTGTTCCAGCAGTTTACCTTTGTGCTGTGATGTTATGGATAAAGCTACAAAAATTTAAAATATATATGTACACATGCATAATGTATACCTATGCCTGTGTGTGTATTTGCCAATCCTGTGAGAAGGCAGTAACATGTTACAAATTTTAAATTTTTTATTATCTTATAATATCACATTTTTATACCCACAATTCCATCATATATAGCCATTTACATTTCTCCCTTGTTATTCCATATTTATAAATCTTTTTTTGCATAGACATTAGAATCATTTACCTTTCTGAATGTAGTCCTTGTGAATATTCTGATTAAAACCAAAATCTGCTACCACTGTATAATTTGATAATGGTCACAAATGACTAATTTACCCATTCTATAAAAATGGAATTTGTGTTAATGGTTGCAAAGTTCACGTAATAGAAATTAATCTACACAAAATAGTTTTTCAGATGTTTGCTAAGATTTTAATTGTTGATCTAATAATTTGTACCTTCATTGGATTTTGACATTTTCACATGTTGTGACAGTCAGCATTTTGTATTGGAGAAACAAGGAGTAAGTTACTTAATTTAAAGTTTCATGTTACGAGAACAGAACCTGTGCGATAATTAGATGTTATTATGGTGATAGACTGTGTCTTGGGACACTGATTTGATGCTATAGGTATAAGTAATGGAGCCAAGGAGGAAAGTGAGTTTTGTTGTTGTCGCCTATAAATCTGATTCAAGTTCAGAGGTCCATTCAGGATCAAGACAAAAGAAACTTTTCAGTGTGAGATAGCAAAGGAAGAGAAAGAGCAGGAGGAAGGTAGGCATGGGCATGTGCATGTGTGTGTGGTGTGTGTATGTGTGTATCTTCAAAAGCTTGTCTCTTACATTTAAAAAAAATAGGATTAAGATATTAATACTATGAGACAGCCAGAATAATCAGAGCCATTTTTTTAACCCCCTCCTCAGCATGAGCATACCAGTCTCTTTCCTTAGCCCCTGTTCCCCCCACCCCCAATTACAGATACACATTCCTGTGTGGGAGGTAGGATCACGTGTAATTTGAAAATACTTCCGGTGATTACCTGTTGTACTTTCATCCCTGTAGGAGGACCACTGTTTTCAAATCTCTAAGAAAAGATGTGCTTTAATACAACATAACTTACTTGATTTCATCCCCAGTTCATTCTTTCCCCCTCCACAGAGTCTGCCTTTTCTAGTATTGCCCACTTCCTGCTGTGGTTTTAGGTCTCCAGGAGGCCAAGAAGCCTTCTGATTCTAGCCAGGCAGGTTGCTCTTTGGATGATGACTTCCATCTTCATCTACCTCTGGAAAATGTGTTTGAAATACCAGGCTTCTGTTAATTGTCTCAAGCATGTTATGTTTCCTATGGATCCATTTTTAAGACTTCTGAACTCTGACCTATGTTATTTATTCACTATTCTGAGAATAACATGGTTGCCAGCACAGCTGTATATGTACTCACAAGATGACTTCATTTTCCACATTTCCAGTGACGTCCGTATTTTTGACAAAGAGTATAGAATAAGAGCTAGACAGAATCCTCATGTCATTAGGCAAACTAGTTTTAGAATGACTCCAGTGTCTAAATAGGTTGTGATTATTTTAGTGGTTTGAGATTTAAATGGAGGTCATGAAATAGTTTTGTCAGTTGTTTAGAGTATGAAAAGTGTCATGCAACTATGTCATCAGTTCTTATCGCTAGTATGTAATAATTGGAGCAGTAACAGGAAGTGTTTTGACCAAAAGAAAGGACATCTAGAGGTCCCAGTGGTCGTCTCAGTCTAGCTTTGTGACCATGGTGCTAAGTTTTCTGTTGGTTTTACTTTCTTCATTTTTGTAATGATCCCTTCCAGGAAGCTACATAATTCCGTGCCTCTCTCATTAAGCTTACAGTAGTTCACTGGCAGTGCTTTGGGATGCTAGCATTAATGTCCCTGTGTCCCTGTCCCCTCTCCTTTTTAAAAATAAATTTTATTTTTCAAAAGGTACAGTTGGTGGGACCTGTTTATGCATCTTTATTTGTAGTAGGGGCATCTCCGCCGTTGGTATTTCTGGCATAAATCACTTGAATGCCGTGTTTTGAAAACAGCTTAATGAATCCTTTACTAAGGAGTTCCTGAAGGGGGCTGCCCTGGCCAGGGAATTGTGAATCTTTAGTTTCTCAGAGACAACAGCTGGGGTTACTAGTTTATAGATGGGAACTTCCTTATAGAGTTTGTCACATGGGGCCCTTGTCAGACAAGACCAGGTTATTGATCTTAGGTCCCAAACTGCCTTTGGACTATTTCTTTTTGGTTTTGGCCCCAGATTTGTTCACTGGGTCTTTATCTTTCTTGGCTGACTTTCCTGCATCACGTTTTCTTCTTGTCCTTGGGTGGCATCATGAGGCTCAGAGAGCAGCTGCTACCACTGCACCCTCACTAAGATGAGGGACAAAAACATGGCCGCCATGAGCCACATGGTCCCTGACATTGCTTAGTTTCTTGTGTACATTCAAGATGCTTTTCTTGGGAGGTTGGGCGACTAAGAGAAAATGAAGGTTAAATAGAATGCAGTCATCTCTCTCTATTCCTGACATTTAAAAAATACGATTAATTATACTGCTTCTTGAAATTATAAAGCTGTAATTATATATATATTTATATATATATATAGTGTGTGTGTGTGTGTGTATATATATGTATATATATATATATAACCAATTGTAGTGTAGTTTTTAAGTGTGTTTAATTTGTATTCTTAGTAGCATGATTAGTTAATTTCAAAGTCTATAAACCCTTTTAGGGTAGATGGTATCATAGTAACTTAATATTTTTATTTCTGGATATTTTATCTTAAATCTTGAGAAATCATCTTATTCTGATTTCTGACTGCTGTCATCAGGTTGGCTGGCTTTAGGATGGGCTGTCTTTGCTCAGGTGATTCTCAGATAAGATTGTTTGGTAATTAACACAGTTCGGGTTAGAATGGAAGAGCTTGTGGTTGAGCTGTAGTAAGTAGCTTCACTTATAAAGGTGCCATGATTTAAATCAAATCTTAGGAGTCCTCCATTTTATTTCTAAATTTCTTTATAGGTAAAATTACTAACATCCACATCTATGTTGCACATACATTAATAAGAGCCTATGTAAAGTGTATTTCTACTTGTGAATGACAGTTTTCTGTATTGCTCCAGCACTGTACCTTATGTTTTAATGCCAGCTTGCTCTTACGTCACAGCTGCTGCTGAGAGCCAGCATACGTTCATGTTAAAATGAAGACTGTTAAGAAAGAGGAGAGTAGAGTGGAGGACTGTGTAGTGAGTAGCTGCCATGTAGTTGAGTTGAAACTTAGTGCGCTTACAGCTGAGAATGCCCAGTGGTGTGGCCCGTGTCTCCTGTGAACTAACAGCCAGATTGTTTATAATTTCCCGTGCTATTTAAAACAGGGTTCTCATGTATCAGCCATCTTCTGTAAGGGTGCCCAGTGTGACTTCGGTTGATCCTGCTGCTATTCCGCCTTCATTAACAGACTACTCAGTACCATTCCACCACACGCCAATATCAAGCATGTCATCAGATTTGCCAGGTATGTGAAGAGTTCTTGTATTTTGTTACCAAGTTTTATTTACTTTTAATCTGTGGAGCAAATGTAGTGTTATAATTTAAACACAAATACTAAGGGAATTTGATGGTTTCATTTAAAGGTAGTATCTGTTTTAATGCATCACATTCAATTCCTATCATTTTAACTACAGAACAATCTATAGATTCCTAATGATAGGAAATATAGTAGGATAGTAGGAAAATTTTATAGACTTTACTCTCCCTCCTAAGGAATTTGTACTCAGGAGATACTTTCTTTATCATAGAAGCTTCACAGGTTCAGGAGAGTGTTTTCTCATGATCTTCTCGGTAACCCGTCACAGCTTCAGAACATACTGTACCATGGGGTTGACATTACCCGTAGCTTTAACCTGTGGGCTTTTTCTCCTCTGTAAAAATAGGATCTACCAGCTGTTTCCTTATGTGTATATTAACATTTGAAAAGTTCAGTGCTGCTTGAATTACCTTAGAACCAAGGCCATATTATAAAATTTGGAACTCCCCCTCCCGCCCTGCGCCCCCTTTTCTTCCCTCCAGAGCCATTGTTATTGTAGACATTTTTTGTCAAATTTGAGCAAGCCTGAAACCAGTGCCTCTTGTATTCATGACTTCCCTTCTTTCTGAGGGGCCCTTTTGGTGCAATACAGTTCCCTCCTCCTGTTCTTAATATTCTTTTCTAGATTTGTGAAGTTAATTTTGACCTAGAATTTATTTTTCTTACCCTCTTAATGAGGTCTTTATTTTAAGCACGGTATATATTCTTTTGGGCAAAATTTGTGTTGAAACAATTGGTAATTGTGTTATCTGGCCTAGTGTAATCTTGCCACTTGAAATTTATTCAAATTATCCGAATAAAATTTAATCAAGAGAAATAGACCAATAATAGTATCTATCAAAAATTTCAAAGAGCCTACTTAACTATGTTTACTCCATATGTATTTGGGGAATTGGTATTTGAAACATTGTTAAGCCCAGCCTGCACCAATTAAAAAATATTTGTTGTGTACAAAACTTGATGCCAAGATACAGGGGAGGTTTCTTGGTCCATAAGACAGATGGAACTCAGAGATACTTAATTCCTAATTGCCATGTTTTCCTTTAACTTTGTCTAGTTTTAAATGAGGTTGAAGAGTGTCCACGTATCGTCTTAGTATGTGTTATAAACAAGCATTCTGGAAGAATTTGTGTTCCTAAAAACCTTGAAATACAAATTAATGCTGAAAAAACTTTGTTTACTAAAGCAACCCTGGCCATTTAAGACTAGAACAGCCACAATTTATGAATCACTTGCTCTGTTAGTTTTCAAATTATGTGAGTCTGGATGAATTTTTAATTTTAGAGAATTTACATTATTTCAAAATTTGGGCATAAAGTGAGACTATTTATAAAATGTGCAGATTTAAGAAGCAATAAGTTATGTTACCTGTATATTTTGTAAAATATATTTCAAGCTGGTATGAAGGAACTAAGACTAATATGCAGGGCTGATACTTGGCCAGTATAAACCAGAATGGGGATACTGGTTATTGAAGTGTTGAAATGCTTTCTTACCAGTTGATAAATTGAACAGAAAAGGATCTATTGTACTTCAGAAGAATTACCAGTTTATCATCATCTATGAATTATGTAGCAATTACTGCATCTAAATAGTTTAGTTTTTACTTTGGTTTAATTGTTAATGTGCTCTTTTGTAGTTAGTAATTATTTTGGTTTTATTTTTGTGCATAATTTTTATGTAATTAGTCCTGTTGTGCAGAGTTTTGATATTTATAAATTTAATAATTTATAATAAAATATTAAATAGAATATCAAGAATGGAGAGATGACAAAGTTTTAATACATTTCTTAACATTCCTTTTAAACATCATAAATATGAATCTTCTGAATCTGCAGGAGAACAAAGAAGAAATGATATTAATAATGAACTGCAGCTTGGAACACCTCCTGATACTGTGCAACAATGAATACAAAATAAAACAAATAATTTGTATTTATGGAATGGAAAACAGCTTGATTATTTCAAGAAAAAATATGACTGCCTTATTATTGCTAGTGCCATATTGTCAGGTGCGAATGGTGCTCAAAAGTTGTATCATTAAAATTGGAAAGTGCTAAACATTTACATATTTAGTCCTGTAGCAATCATGTTTTGTTAAAGTTCATGGCTCAAGTAAGGAAAATATGGTGTTATTAATAAGACATGTAGAGTCAGTTTCACATAAAGAAGCACTTAAAATCTAAAAACTACAATTTTATCAGTGTTAATAAAACATTTAGAATGTACCATCAGAATTTTAACACTGCCTGCTTTTTAGTTAAAAATAATTGAGCATTTTCAACCATGAAATACTTAGGTGAGCATAAAAATATATAGTACAGCACACTGCAATTGAAGCTTATGGTGAAATAAGAAAACATATTTTACTAAACTACAAAACAAGGCAGTAACATTTTAATCCGTATTCATGAAACTCCATCTATTTCATATAGGAGCTTTAATAGTATACTTAAAATGTAAGATGCAAGACTTTGATAATAGTTTAAAGTTTTTTGTCAGAAGGAATAACATCTGAAATACTGTATCGAACTTCAGTGTTAGTGTTTGAGAAAAAATGGTTTCAGTGAGAAATATTTACATTAAAACATTGGATTGTGTGTGGAGAGCATCTGTGTAATGCTAGGGACACAGTCAAGAGTTTCAGCCAATCTTAGAAACATTTCTAGTTGTTTTATTATGGCATGTTAGAAGTCCCCATATTCAGTTATCCTTGGATAAGGTGTCAAAAGATACAGATGAAGTAAATGTCTTAAGTCTTGTATGAGTATATATTGACTGGCACACATGAAATGATCATCAAAGAGAATTATAGTACATCTGAAGAGCTGGGATTTGAAATAATGAAAATATGAAGAATCTTTGCACCTTGATGGGCAGCCTCCAGTGCTGGAGCTGCATAGTTTGAAAATTTTATCAAGCCTGTATATTTATTTAAATTGCAGTTATGAAGTGGGAAGCGTTAAGCATTTAGAAAATGAGCATTTTTGAGTTGATTTGGCATCAGTACACAATATTGCAAGAGATAGTAATACTTCAGCTTTATAAAAAAGGTTTAAGTTATTCAAATGGACTGAGCGATTCAACAAACATTAAAAGTGATTGAACATATAAAATTAAGTAGGCTATAAAAAGCAGAAGCTATTAAAGAAAAATGTTACACCATTTGAAGGAAAACCAAATTAACAAAATTAAGTCAATTAAAGGACATGCCAGTAAACTATCTTTGTGACTTAGTCAATAATAGAAATGTTGAATATATAAAATTCGGAAGGTATTATAAGGGCTAGACAGATTTTGAATTACTGTTCAGAAGTGGAGGATTTACTGAACAATACCATTAATGTGAAGAGAGAAACTCTCAGCTTACTGAGATATGTCATCTACTGATTATCAGTATAATGGGAAGTCATTGGAAAAGTTAATTGTGATCCCCTTTGTCCAGTGTTGGCTCAGACTCCCTTGTATCATAGAGCTAGTGACAGGCATATGGAGTGAAAAACCGTATTTAAAAATGCTTTAGAAACTGAATGCTTTCTTTCAAATGATTGGTGCTATACCTTGTATCACTTGATAAGCCTTTTTATCATATCCTTACAGTTATAAGGGAATAAGTGTACTTTAAAAGAGGTATAAATTATTCATACTGGTTATTAAATATTTTAAATATCATTTCCACAAATATTCTCTATTTTGAGTAACAGTCTAATATCAGACTTTTATTCTGTATGATTGTTATATTTGAGGTGACATTGAATGCCAGCATATAAAAGTTCATAGAATTGAACAGAAATTGGCCTGTCTCACTGACCTATACTTAGTAATTTTTTTTTAATGTCTTAAAATCTAGTCAGGTTTAGGGGGACTGATTTTGAAGTTTATTGCTAGACTTCTCAGAGTTGAATTTTTTTATTATTTATTGTTATAATTTTAATACTTCAAAATTGTATTACTGGGCAAACTTTTCCACATTCCCGTTTCTAAAGCGTAATTGGAGAATTCCAGATCTTTGGTTTAGAAAACTGCATTAGCTTATAACCCAGTAAACCCTACTAAGATTTGACTTGTTAGTGAGCAGCAGTTAACCAAGTGCTTGCTTTGTGCAGAGCGTTGAACTGTGTACTACTCTTGATGTGGGGACAGGGTGACAGAGAGCGATCCATGAAACAGACATCTGTTTAAGAAGTGATATTTTAGAAGCTCAATGTGGTGTATTTCTAAAAAATAAATGTGAAGTATCTTAAGAGCCTAAGTATGTTTTTTTTTAATGGTCCGAATCCAGATCATTCTCTCATCATTTTAATTGCTTCTCATTCTGTTAAGTGATGAAGGGGAAAAGTTTGCTTTGACTAGTCTTACTTCTCTGGAAATTTTTGGACTGGTCCCTTTAAGTCTCTGAGAGGTGGTTTTTCCAGTTGTTTTGTGAGGGAATACGTTCATTTTGGGGTTTTATGCACTTTAAATATCACGGATTGTGGTGTTGAACTTCTCTGTGGCAGAATGGTAAGCACTTACCCAAATGTTTTATGACTCATGATAAATACAAAATGATTTTGGGAAATAATCTTGTCTCCAAAATATGAGACAACTATTAACAAAGCATTTTTGTTTTAGGTTTGGATTTTCTTTCCCTTATTCCAGTTGATCCCCAGGTATGTATCCTGAATTTAAGCAACTAATTTGTATATGATTGTTGGTTATGTCATACTAACTAAAAATGACCAGTTGCATAAAATCAGGACAGTCAACTTTCAGTTACTTAACTTGATGGAAATGAATTACTATATAAATACTTCACAATTTTATTTGGGGGAATAAAGTTGCTGTTTTTAAATTTATGGTATTTTTGACTTAATACCTGAATTTTTAATTATATTTTATTTAGTTTAATAATCAGTTGGCATTTCTTAACAAGCACTTGAGTGATTAAAATGAGGGGAAGCAGTGATGATCAGAAGTTAAAACTTCACAGAGATTATTTGTGAAACACTCGTTCTATATGTCGAAAAGAGCAAAGAGCGGAAGCTGGTTCAACAGGCTTGAATCATTAGCTTGATTCTTCCTTGTGTTTAGAGGCAGTCAGATTCAGACTTTGGGGTTGCCCCAATCTAAAGTTGCTATAAACCAGTCATTCCTGTTTTCTCTGCCAGCGATAAGAAACTCAAGTATCCTAGAGTCCCAACGTGGAGACCTGCAGTAAACCTGGACTGACAGGCATAGGGCAGAGGCAGAGCAGAGGAGGGGAGGGCATGGGAGAAGCGGAAGGGGGAAGGGAAACAGAGAGACTTGGAGAGAATTGCCAAGGGTAGGGAGGGCCAGAGGAAGACCCACAGACCACTGCTTTGGTTGCTAAGTCTCATAGTGGCCTCCTGTGTCAGGACTCTGTATCTGATCAGGAAAACAGCACTGGAAATTTGGGCCCAGGGTAACATGTGCAGAATGAGGAATTTCTTCTCACTCTGAGTTGACTTGGTTACATCAGCAGATTCTGTAACAAAGGTAGCTATATGTTTTTCTAGGAAATGGATTCTTCAGGCTTAAAATATTGCTGATTTTTATGAGAATCATCCTTTTAAAAAAATGGTCTTGGAACCCAGAGGGTTTTGATTTCGTAGTGCTATTTGGCATACTTGGTGTCAGGCTAACTTATTTGTTAAGCCAGTAGAAGGGTGAGGTGGTGCCTTCAGTTTTCCTGAGAATCCTTAGATTTTTTCCTCCTTTACCTCCATAGTGCCCCCTTAAGCCCTGTTATCTTTGTGCAGTTATGTGCCAATTATGCATGAAGAGTACAGAGTTAGAGGTGAAATGGTTGCAACCGGAATATTACAGGAATTCACAGAGCCTATTGATAGCAGGACTGTGGTCTCTAGCATTCATCTTATAAATAAGAAGAGTACCTTTTTATTACCAGGCAGTCAAAAATGGCCTGAGAGGAAGTAGAAATAAAATGTAAATTTCTGGGCTTTTTTCCAGATTGTTTCCTCAATATTAGTGGAAAATTAGAATTGATTTCATTTTAAAATAGTTTAATGCCTTACAATTCTACTCTCTTTAGAGCTTCTGAGAAGCTCTTTAAGAACTATTCCTTCTCCCCCAACCCTTAACCAATATCCATTTGATCTCTTTGTGCATGACATTCATTTTATTGATGAACCAAGACCGTTATCCATCCTAAACACTAAACTACTTTTTTTGGTAAGGCATCCTGAATTTTAGTTGTTGCTCTTCCACTGACTGGCAATGTAAGCCTGGGGCTGTCATTGCCGTTTTAAGATCTTTTGGTAGATCGTGTAGTCGAAACAGCTTCAGTTTTAAATTCCTGTTTGGTGATTAGTATGTCTAATGATAGGCTGAAAAATTTGTAGAATTGATAATATTGATAGGATATCCTTACTGATCTTCTTTGATACAGTTAATCTAAAGACAAACTTTTAGGACTTCTTCTCTTGTATATACTGGACCTCACTTATTTTACTGAAGTCAGTGTTGTTTCTCACATAAAATATTCTGTGGTGACAAAATAAAGCTGTTAGCTCCTCTCTCTCTACTCCTCTTGGACAATACTAGAGTATTAAACTCGGGTTTGAATTTGGGAGTCAGCAATCAAGATGGTAAGGAAACTTGAAATATGTGTTCTTGGAGGGCGGGTATGGAGTCTCACAAGGAAGATTATATTAGATTAGATCTTTAAGATTTATTCCAAAATTTTGTGATTATGTGGGATACTGCTCTATTCTGAACATCCTGTCGTAGTTAGCTACCATGTAGTCTCTGTTTTAGAATGAATGCTATGTTCCTGATTACACAGGTATCATATCATGTATGTCCAAAGGATTCAGAGTGGCACTATTGAGTTGATCAATCTTAACATTATTCCTAAAGGGTCTGATTGGATAGTAAAGTGTGAAAGTATTACTGAATTTTACATTGGCATTTTTGCTTAATACCATTAGAAATAAGTATTTGCTAGCCATTTTGATGTGATTTAAACCTGGTATAAATACAGTTAGCAAATTCTTTTGGAGGTTAAGTATGAGTCATAATTGTGGGGCCAATATATACTATTAAATAATTTTGATTATTGTTGACATTTTTATACTTGTACCTATATATGTGGTCAGCAAACATTCTACAAGATTTGAGAAAATGAAAAATATGCTGCACTCACTAAACCGTAAAAGAGCTAACTAAATTCATGCCACCTTCCAAAGATGTGAAGTTTTGAGAAATTTCTAAATCCCACTGGGATTTAAATATGTGGCTATCACGTGTGCATATCTAACAATTTCTAGTCTCTTTATTTAAAATCAATGTAGCCTCTTCCTCATCGGCATCATTGTTTGTTTCAAGCAGTACTGTCCTCCTATGTTTTTGGATAGTCTCACCTCACCCCTAACAGCAAGCAGTACGTCTGTCACCACCACCAGCCCCCATGAAAGCAGTACTCACGTTAGTTCATCCAGCAGCAGGAGTGAGACAGGGGTCATAACCAGCAGTGGAAGTAACATTCCTGACATCATCTCATTGGACTAAAGGAAGACTCACTCGATTCTAGGAATCATTCATCAAAACTGTTCTTTCTTGGATCTCTGGTCCGTGGAAGCTATTTTTTCGGTAACAATTACTTTGATATTTATTGAAACGTCAGATGGATTCTTTTGCTTTCTGAGAGATAAACACAGATGACTGCAGCAAGAACCAAATGACATGCAAGGATTTTTCTTACTCATGCTGTACTCTGAGCATCAGATACATTTGACCATAACTGTATCTTCTCCAGAGACGGATTTCAATTTCATATGTTACTGGATGGATTCTGCACACATCGGTTAAATTTTTTTTTGTTGTAATAAACAGCAATAAAATTATGTAAATATTCAAGTAAACTTTTTTCTAACTAAAAAAGATGTAATCAATGATTCTAAAATGACAGCAACTTTTGTTTAACCTGATGTGAAGGAAAAATACATGGAAGGAAGTCATGTTTGCTGAATGAGTCCTTTCCACAGAGATTTGTTCTGTTTCATCGAATAATGAAGTCTTGCTAAGTGGCCAGAGCTTGGCTCCACTTTTCTTTTGCAGTTCCTCTTTTCTTCCTGATTCCATCAAAGAAAAATGGCCTTTGTGTTACTTATTTTTCCCTGGTTGTCATTTACACTTTGATGTTGTTTGCTAGCAGTTGCAAAGGGAAGTTCTGGGATTTGGCTGCTCTTTATCAGTGATTATGCTGAAGAACACTATGCAGATCCTGCCCTGACGTGTGTTATTTTTGGTAATTGTACATTCTCATTCTAGAGATTTCTACAAAATTGGGCTTGCCTTCTCGAAAAAGAAATTCTGTGCAGCCATTGAATGTTGAATGAAATGTTTTTGGAGTAACCTGTGGCTAGAATGTTCCTTAGAATTTTGTTTACACTGACCAGCAACATTGAGAGCTTTTTGAGGCAGTATAGAAGAACAGATTTTGGGGAGGTGGGATTAACAAAGTTTAATCTCTTCCTAGGAACTTCTTTTACTCATTTATTTTATAGAATAATATACAGATCTTTGTTGAAACTTTTCACATTTTAGTAACACTAACAAAGCAGATACGATTTAGAACTCTGGTCACATCTGTCACCAGTACAGTCTCAGTGATGATTTTCAAACTTAATTAGAAGACACAAACAACAGCAAGGCGTGGGGACTGCATCGGATTTCCTGTTCCTTTTTTTTTTTTTAAAACAAGGAAATCTTTCCTGATACCATGAAGGACACACAGAGTTAAAAGTGTGTGAATTTAAGGTGAGGACGGTTTGGGGAGGATGGTGCTGCAGCCCGCTTTGAAAACCACTCACTCAGAGTGTTCTTGATTTTAAATCCCTCAAGAGGCCGAGTTTTACTCTTAGAGAAACATTTCTATCCACATTTTATATTACCCTTTGCTTCATTTGGCCCTCTAAATTTTTGAGTTCTCAAGAAATTCATACTTTTCTAATGTTTATCTTTCTCCCCCTAACTGTATCTACTTTAAAAATAAAAATCCCTTTTTAAAAATGACTAATCTGATTTCTCAGACTTAAGTGCCCAGATGAAGAGTACCGATTTCAGTTAGAACAGGGACACATGATATTACTTCAGGGTTGATGTAACTCCAGGAAGCTGACTTGTCACTGCTTGGGTGGTTTTTGTTTTTAAACACCTCAAGTTTTCATGGCCGCTGTGCTCCTTTTGTACTGATTCAATTTCATGTGATTTTCTGCATCATCCCTCCTTTGTCCACATCATCCCTTTATGTATTATTCCTTTTGGAGAGCTGCTTAATGAAAAACGTGGCAACAAACCAGAATCTTCTTACAGTGGTTGCACCATTGTTGCCGGTTTTACCTTCTTAGGCACTAGATTTCCAGTCCATGTTACAGGCCTTTGGTCCACATAGAGAATTTCTTCCTCGTAAAATTTTATGTTGCTGCTCTAAATACAGATGCAATCTCTGTTAACTCTGTAATCAGATAGGAAACGGAACTCTGATTTGTGTGGTATAATTTGTTAATAAATAAATGATGTATATTTGTTACCATTTTGTTACCCTTTAGATTTTCAGACTCCCCCCTCCCCAACGTAATCAACAAAGTTTTATAAGGTTAAATGAAAATATATTCATAGAAATTATTTACTTGGTTCTTGTAACCGATACCTCTGTGCTTTTATAGTTGTGCTTTGTTTCCTTTTTACTATTTTATGTGAACAGTTTTAGTGTTCATTTTTGGTGCTTTATACTGAAATTACATAAAATTTTAATTTATACAGGCGACTAACATTTTTAAAAATACACTTTTAAGTTTGTAATCTTAAAATTGGGGCTTTTATGTATATATCTTTGAAGGTGAGTACTTTTCTTTATGCTTTTGCCTTACAACAGCATGATCATTAAGTCATTATCCTTTTTTTTTTTTTTTTAAAGCATGGTCACCAAATACTTCTACCGAGACCCTGACTTTTTAATAGTTTATTTTGCTTGCCCAGATTTCTGCTTAACCAAGTGTAATGCAGTTTCAGAGGAGGTTGTCTTAGCTGTTACGTAGATGTCAGCCAACTAGTGGTTATGTGGAGTATCTTGTTTAAGGAAAGGAACTGCAGACTGCAGCTACTAGTCTCCTCTTACAAACGCTGAGGTAACAGGTGGTTTTGATCCTTATTCACGTAGAAATGTTAAGGCTTACCTTGATTTGGTGACTCCTGATGTTGTAATTGGTGTTGAATATAGCTTCACAGCTAAACTCTGCTTACATTCACTAACTTTCTGACCCTTAGGTGAGCCACTTTAGGATTTTTGTAATTTCCATTTCTGCCCAGTAGAAGGTAAATAAATGCCTTTACCAGAAGGTAAAAATACTTGGCATCTGTCATAGGGTAATTAATTATAAGGGTAAATGCAATATTAGCGTTAAATTTAGTTTATGTGGCATTTATCTTACAATGTGCCCCAGGAAAGCTGGGATGAAAATGCTATGATTAGGGGAGGATTGTAAGTATAGTAAGTAAGTTGAGCCATGACTCTTGACATAAAACAAGTTTCCCTAGGGTAGAATCTTAAAAGAGTTTGAAGAAAGATTAAAATGTTGGATTTTAGGTGAAGTGGTATTCAACAGAGACTATTCAGGACTTGTTGACATTAGACCTTTCAGGCGTTCTGCCTTCAGGCCAGTCCTGGACACTAGTCACTTAGTAACCCAAGTCTGTTTTTCTTATGCTAATATTCATTAGTTACATTTTATCTTTTTAAGTAAATTTGATTTTTATAAAATAGCATTAGTTTAATTCTCATATACGCCTTTTATTTCTCTTTAGCCCTCAATTGGTACAAAAGCAGTTCACTATTTACTCTTTTCCCCCTTTTTTTTTTTTTAAGTAAACACTTGTTTTCCTAATTTTTTTCATTTTGAGAAAATGCAGAGCTGTGCGTCATTTAAACTTGGGTGTGATGTGTTTTGTGGCCCCGGATTCCACGTGCTGTGGGAGCTTATTGTCAGTAAGATCTGTGATTGATGATTCAATCTGATTCACCCATTTTTTCTGCTGCAGTTCTACATGAATATGGTGAAACTTGTGGAAAACAATTTAAGAATTTCTCTTTTTTAAGAGCCTGATGCTCCTGTCAAATGAATGACTTGGTTTGTAAGCCCCCCCTTTTTTTGTTATTAGGAGCCACACTCCCAATTCCTAGGAGAAACAAATAAAGCTATATAAAAGTGCCCATTCTTCTTTAATGCTTGCCTGATTCAATAATGTTTTTGTTTTTTCTATTTATGTCAGTAATGCATGCTCACTGTGGAAAAATTAGACCATACAGAAAAGTATAAAAAAAAAGCACTTTGACATTTTTGCATATTTCTTGCCAGTCTCTCTGCTACTCGTGAGTGTTTTTACATAGTTTTATTCATTCTCAATATAATTTGGGTCTTGGTTTTTTTCTCAGTCTACATGTCATTAAAAACTCAACTTTTATTAATTGCATGATATTCCATTGTATGGATGTGCCATGATTCACATAACCTTTCCCCATTGGACATTTTAGATTGCATCTCATAAAGTTACAGTGAATGTCTTTGTGTATAAATTATTTCCTTAGGATGAATTACTAGAGATGGAATTTCTGGGTCAGGGATACAAACACTTTTGTAGTTCTTGATTCATTTTTCCACATGATTTTACTGATTTATACTCCAACCGTATGTTATGAGAAGAACTCTTTAACCATATTTTCCAAGAATATACACCATTCATCTCTCTGCTGGCATCTGCACTAAGACCCTCTCCTTTCTGACCCTGGTGAGCTGGGCTGATTTGGAAGTAATTGGCAAAGATTTTCCCGGACTGTCTCAGTTTCAGCTTCATCTATTTGACATGTTCCAGATACACCTGCCTAAGGATATCCAAATAATTTTTCACATAATTTTACTTGCCCTGTGAAATAGCCCATTGTCAGACTATGTTTTCTATTTTTAGTTAGAAAATCTTGACACTTTTTTTTTTTTTTTTTAACCATTTGTACCTAGGGCCAGCCCTTAGTAGCCAGCTTTCTTTTTTTCCTCTTTCTGTAGGCTCCATTTTGGGCTTTCTCAGCTCCCCAAAGCCAGTAGGATCTCCTGAGCCAAAGGCAGTCCAAGCCAAACTGGAAGCGTGGTAAGGCTGACCAACAAAAGCAGGGCCGAGCTTCGCTTGTTTCACTTTGTATTCTTTTGTGTTTCCAGTGACATCTGGGTGTCCTAAGGGCAGCTCTGTGGCAAAAACAAAAAAACAAAACACCCCCCCCCCAAAAAAACAGATTGCTATCTCAAATGTTCAAGGTGTATTATTTTCTTGATTGGCATACCACATAATTTTCCAGACTGCTTTTTATTTCAGAATGGCTTTTAAAGCTTTTTCATTCTGTGTTCTCAAAGCTTAACTCTTTTAAGTGAAGAAGAGGGTTGTGTTATAAAATAGAACATGTCTCTTATTTTGGCCTTCACCAAACTATTCACATATTCAGTGTGTCTTACAAATGTGTGTGGGATAGAGTAGAATAAAAGATCTAGTCCCAGACTTCAAAGGGCTCCTAATCAGCTTTTCAAAAATAAAGGGTTCTTACCTACTAACAGGCATTGTGCTAAGAATTTTACAAAAATGTCTCATTCCTTACATTTGCCCTACAAAGGAAAGTGGTATGGTCCTCATTTTACAGATGAAGGAATAGATTTAAGTAAGTTTCTCAGTGGACTTGGGAGTCTGAAACAGACCTACCTCAAAAGCCCTCTGATTAAATGGAAGTGACATTAATCAGCTAGGTTATTTAGGAATCTAGACCTAAGATTATAAGAACTGATTTTAGGTGATGGCCACAGGAATAAGGAAGGAGTGGACCCTGAAGCCATTTCAAAGGAAGACTCCAGATTCAGTGGCGTGAACAGATACAGGAGTGAGGGCTGAGTCCATTTCTCAAGCCTGGGTAACCAGGATAATGGATCTGTTTACAGAGAGAGGATGCAGTTAAAATAGGCATTAGTCATTTAGGGGAGGCAATGAGGAGTTTGATGTTAAGCATGAGATTTCAAAAGGGAAGGGCCTATGAAACTCATGTTTGCTTTTCTGCAGTCTTGAAGATGTGAAGCCTTCCTTCATTGTTTCCACTCTCACTGGTCTCCATTCTGTAGATCTAGTCCCTCCCAGTTGCCCATCCACTCTCTCCGCTAAACCATGCTCACTGCGTCTCCACATTTCCTCTGGATTTTTTCTCTTCACTGCCTTGTTACCTCAAGTCTGGCCATACCCTGCATCTCTCACCAGTGTGGGCTGTGTTTACATTCCACATAACTGAAGAAGTGGGTGGCTGCTGCCCTTCCTCTATTGTAATTTCTAAACATTTCTCCCCAGGCCTGTGACAAAAATCTGCCCCATTTGCAGCCCAGGCGAGGTTTTACTGTGGGCTGCTTGTACTCTTACCAAGTAACCTGACCATGTCCTTGGATTTGCTGAAGGCTTCATTTCCTGACTCTCAGTGTTTCTTGCCATCTCTAACTTTGTAGTCCTTCTCAGTCTTCAACGTTTTGATGGATGATCCATCCAACAGTCTAGCTTGTGAGATTTTTGGTTACCTCTGATATTTTCTTGCACTGAAACGCCCAGTTTCCTCTGTAGTTCTTGTCTACCTTAGACTGCTTCTCCATTATTACAGCCTCAAAAGTATCCCCAGATCCCTCCTTCAGGGTCACCCATCCGTCCTTTGATTTGGCATCACATGCTGCTTTTGCCCATTCTTGTCGATTATTACAAATGTTACTCCTTTTCAGAACACACCTGTCTCCGCAGATGACCTTGCTTCCTAATGCACACAGAAGATTGTTTGCCAGCGTGATTTCTCTCCACATGTGCCCATCTTCATTCTCCTTCATTCCAGTCTCAGAGGATGAGGTGGGCCTGAAGGCCAGTTCAGCCCCATGGACTTCTGACTCTTGTTTCCTGTCATCTTCAGGACCTTCATCACACTCCCTCTTTTCTGAATGTCTTTCACTTCTCTGCTGCTGCCTTTGGCTTACAGAAGTCTCAGTCATCAAATACTAGGTCCTGTGTTACATGCCAGGCATTGTATCAGGCACTCAGAACACAAGATAGATAAATCCCTAACCTTCACCAAAGTTGTGATTCAGTAGAATAAAGATGAGTGAAATAGGGAGATTACAGTGCAGTGGTAAAAGGCAAAATAGAGGGTGCTACGGTAGCACGTAGATGAGGCAACTGGCTGATCGTATGGAAGTGTCCGATGAGTAGGACCATGGCAGTTGATTAGTTGTCAAGAGAACCGAGAATGTTCAGAATAGCTGCACGTTTGTGTAAGAAATCATGCCGGGCCTTATAAAGCAGTGAGAAGGCACTGAGGAGTTCCCATGATCATTAACAGTTGGGCAGCATTGGTTGAGTTTGGTATGATTGTCTCCATTTTACAAATGTGGGAACAGATCATGAGAGGGTGAGTGACTTGTTTGTGGCCCTGCAGCTTGTGTGAGGCAGGTGAGGTGAGGCAGGCTTCAAATCCAGCTTTTAACCACCTCAGTCTGTTCATGATCATTCTATCTAAAAAGTAGGTGTTAACTATCCTTTATCATATCACTGTTTATATTTCTATATGGCACTTGTCACAACCTGTGTTTATATGTTGGTTCACTGTGTATTGTCTGTTTCCCTTACTAGATTGTAAGCTCCGTGAGGGCAGGGATGATCTCATGTCACATGCATCCCAGAGCCTAACAAGGTGTGTGGTGCATAGTAGGTGCTCAATAAATATTTATAAATGAAGAAGTGGTGGATAACTGTTTGTATTTGACTTGTGCTGACAGGGAAATAATTTAATACCTGAGCAGCAGGCTTTCACCAAGAGAGGAAAACAAGAGGAAATACATGTTTGGGGCAGAGGATAGAGGTGACACATGCTTGGGATTTGGGAGGAAGTCAGAAGACTCCAGAATCCTACAGGGGCAAGCACTGGGAATGGGGAATTTTAGGGCAGCGCACACTGAGGAAAATAAGGTGAAGTAGGTATTGTATTTAAACCTGAAAGCCTAAATGACCCCCTTGCAGACCCAGCCTCCTGTGTGTGTATATGACTGGGAAATTTGTATAATCTATATACATAGGACCACTCATCTGGGTCAGGTACACCACACTGAGTTACACAATACAATTGTAGATGTAGCTCTGATTTATCAACCTCAGTCTCTCAAAGCTAACAACTTGACCCAAGTCGTCATTGGAGTCTGTACTTTGGAATTGGAGCAAGAATCAGTTAACCCGATGTCTCTGGAAATCAGGCCCACATGCCATTAGATGAGCAACAGGCTTATCCTGTAACATATGGGTAGTATTGAAACCATGAAAATGCAAGAGCTCAACCTGAGAAGTCAGTGAGAAAAGAGCTAGGAAAGGAACACAACAAAGAGATTGAGAAGGAGCACCTGAGGTAGAAAGGAAATCAGGAGTGATATTACAGAGTCCAAAACAATAGAGCATTCCAAGAAGAGAGTGGAGTTAAAAGCTTCTATAATGTAAAAAGTATCCAGTAAAAGAACTAATTTCAGAAACACTGTATTTGATTGAATCTATACCTGATTGATTGTAACAACTTTGTGTAAACAAAGAAAAACCTAATTAAACTAGGACCCATTGCTTTCAACCGCATTGATTGTAAGATAAAGCTCATTAAAATGTGGGGGAGGAGTGAATATGCATCCTGGAATTTAAGAGTTATGATAATCTGTATCTTCCTTTGGTTTTCTCAACCTGGCCATATCTAGTAATTTCACCAAGAACAAGTTCAGTGGAATGATGAGGGTAAATCTAGGTTGCAGTGGGATGAGGACTGCAAAGTACAGAAATGAAGTGTGCAAATATAGACAACTCAGCTGGTCTGATGAAGGGTGAGGCTGTAGCAGTAGAAATGTGTATGGTGGAGGGAATTTTTTTTTTTTTTTTAAAGAGGGGAAAAACTGGAGTCTCAAGTTTCCATGCTAATTAGATGCAGACGGTAGGAGAGGGAGAAGTGAATGTGGGTAGTGCAGTAGGGGTTGGCCAAGATCATTGGTACATCTAGGTCCCTGAGCAAGAGGGGGAAGTTGGGATCCATATCAGAGGCAGATGAGGGATGGATATGGACACAGTTGTGTCAGGTAGCAAAGAGTATAATGTTTTCATCTAATGATTTTGCTTTTATGTTTTTGAGAACCAAGTGAAATGGCCAGTTCCAGAAATGGGAAGGAGGTGAGAATGGAGGTACAAAGTCAACAGAGATAGAAATAACAAGTGTTAGTGAGGCTGTGGAGAAAAGGCAACTTTTGTGCCTGTGGGAATGTAAATTGGTGCAGTTACTCTGGAAAACAGTATGAGGGTTCCTCAAAAAATTAAAAAGAGACCATATGATCCAGCAATTCCATTTCTGGGTATTTGAAGAAAATGAAAACAAATTCAAAAAAAGATATA